CGTGGGTGCCCGAAATCCCAAGAGGAGAAGGGAGGAGGAGAGGCCATTGCGATGTGGCCGCCTCCCCGGAGAGCGCTATCTCACCTTCTCTCTCCCTGGCTCTCTGGAGAGTACATGCCCTACGGCCAAAATCTACCATAAAACCAAAATAAATAACAACTACTAGCACCGACTCACCCTAGCTAAGCATGGTGCCAAGTGTGTTATCTGTGTGATCTTGTTTCATCTCACACCAGCCCCCGGAGGTGAACACTGCTGTTAGAACTGATTTGTAGGTGTTCACGGGGGCGGGGCAGTCGGCCCACGCTCGGGGCTGCATGCGGCCAACTGGCTCTCAGCCTCTGTTCCCGCTTCCCACGAGCAGCACCTGTGGCAGCGGCCAGAAAGCCAAAGCTGGGGATCTAGGACGGAGCTCCGTCCTGCAGATGCACGCGGGCACAGAGCAGGGAGACCATGGGCTTTCTGCACCAGCAGCCGTGTCCGGTCACCACTGGTGCTGGGGTCGAGGGCAGCTGTGACAGTGACAGCTTCGCAGCCCCAGCTCCCTGATGCTCAGGACAAGTATGCACCAGTGAGTGCTAAAACGTGACAGCTCCCACGTGGCCTCTGGGGGCCAGTGCCACTGCCTCCTGGGAGTCCCTGGAGACCCGACCTTGCACCCGCTTCTCCATCCCTTCCCATGATCTTGCCAAGACCCCATCCCCTTTCTTGAGTCTCTTTCTGTTGAAATGCCTAGAGTGGCTCCAATAGCTAGGTATACTGTAGACCCGCAGGAGAGGACATCATATGCCCCGGAGAGACTGCACCCCAACATTTATGCTCTGCCAGTCCCAATAGCCAAGACGTGGGACCAGCCGAGGTGTCCACCAACACACGGATGGACGAGAAAATGTGGGACAGGGCAGCCCTCAAGTGTGGTGGTTAGGCATGTGCAGGAGGAGCCAGACCTCACAGAGGGACCAGGCCCCATTTGAGGTCTCTCTATCGTGTGTACATGGACTCTCTATCATGAGTAAAGTAAATATACTTTAAAAAAAAAAAGGGGGGGGGACCAGCAGGTGGTGTGATGGTTAAGGCGCTGGACACTCCCACATGGTTGACCATGGTTTGAATCCCAGACCTGGCAGCTTGCTTTCTCACTTTCCCACTCTCTCTCTCTCTCTTTGGTCAAATTAAAATAAATAAATAAATAAATAAAATGAAATAATTCTTTAAAAAAAAAAGAGAGCGAGAGAGAGAGCAGGGGCTAGCTGGTGACATGCTGGTTAAGGTGCCAGATTCCCACATGGCCAACTGTGGTTCAAATCTCAGACCTGAGACATGCTTGGACATGCGTGTGTGTGTGTGTGTGTGTGTGTGTGTGTGCCCAAAATCCCAGGAGGAGAATGGAAAAGGAATTGCAGTGTGGCCATTCCCATCCCCACCACCAGAGGTGATTTTTCACCTTTGCTCTCACTGTCTCTCTCTCTCTCTCCAGCGAGCACACATACCCTGTGGCAAAAAAAAAAAAAGAGAGAGAGAGAGAGCAACAAATAGCAATGGCTCCCCCACATTTCTCACCATCCTTTCAGCTCTGTAGGCCATGGTTTCAGCCAATGGGGTATGAGTGGAGGTGATCTGGGGTGAACCCCCCAATCCTACAGTGAGCTAGTGGCATATCCTATTGCCTTTGTGGAGCATAACTCACCCCCCCAACCTCCTGCTGTGCTACTACCAACCTTCGAGGTTGACTTGTTACTGCAGCAAAGCCTAGCCTGATCCTGACTGCAGCATCCTAATCAATGTAGATGCCTCAACAGCAGAGAACTTGTCTCTTTCCTCCATGGCTATCCCTGCACCCAGAACAGCCTACTCTATTAATATCTACTGAATGAACACATACGTGGATGCGATGTTCCTTTCTGTTGTTCTAACATAGGACAAAGGGGATCAGCAAATGTAAGCAAACTGAGAGCTTCTGTGGGCTGCAATTGCTTCTTATGTGTGGATCATGTCCTTGGAAGCCCTGAGCCTCCTCTTCTCCAAGCTGAGTATTCCCAGCTCCCCTGCAAAGGTTTCGAGGAGCCATCGGTGGCGTCAGGAAAGGGCAGGTGCCATGGAGCTGGCTTGGTTTGGATACCGGTGCTTGCATGAATTTGGTCTCAGTGAGCAGTGATCGGGCGTCCCCAGAAGGTGGACACGTGCTGTGGTTAGGTCACGTTGTAAAGGTGTAAGTGAAAACACGCCCCCTTCATGATGTCCCACCGTGGGGCCTTTGGGCGTGGCCGAGTCATGACGGTGGCCCCGTGTTGAGTTCTGGGGTGTTTATAACAAGGGTACGAGGCTGGCAGAGCCACGCGGACACAGACACGCTCCGCTCTGCGCGAGGACCTGCCTTACAGCACCTTGTGATGCCTTTGACGTTCTGCTCACCCAGACTGTGAATCAACTCTCTATTTCTCTTTTTCCAAAAAATTTTGCAATAGGGCACATGTGCTTGCCAGCGAGAGACAGAGAGGGGAAAGCACTCCCCATGGGGGATGGTCGTGCTGCAATCCCTTCTCCATCTCTCCCTCGTCACGGAATCTTGGGCATGGACACACACACAGCATGTTTCTCAAGCCCCCCTGGCTGAGACTCGAACAGCGGGGTCCGCCACATGGAATCCAGCTGTCTCAATCACCACACCACGGAGTAGACTCAACAAACCTTCGGCTCTTTATAAATCAGTCTCAAGTATTACTGTGAGCGACTTAATACAGGACTAGGACCAGCGCCATGGTACCTGTGACAGGCCCAGTGAGACCGTGGCCAAAGACGCGACTCCCCAAACCTGTTTCCTGGTCTGTAACTGGGCCCACGCCCTTGCTACGGAGACTTGTTGGGGATTGGGGATTGGGAGTGGGGCAGAGGCAGTTGTAGGGCCCACCGCAGCTCTCTGCGTGTCACTGCTAGCCGGGGCAGCGGTGGTTTACCAGAGGGGTGCCTGTGGGGACAGCTGGACTCACTGTCTTGAATCAGGATCTTTGTTGTTCATTGATTCGAAACGTCCCTTTAACCCACAGGTGGCTCCTCTGAACATTATCATCTAAAACGGTGACATTTCACATGGAATCATGGCCCAAAGGCGAGGGTCAGCGCAACTAAACACCTGTGACGCCTTTTAAGCTCATTCATTTATTTATTTACTTAACAATATTTATCAAGCAGGGCCAGTAGATGGCATGGTGGTTAAGGCTTTCGACTCTCCCATGGTCTACTGAGGTTCAAGTCCCAGACATGGCAGCTTGCTTTCTGACATTCCCTCTCTCTCTCTGTCTCTCTCTCTCTGGTGAGCACATGTGCCCTATAGCAAACTTAAATAATAATAATAAATAAAACAAGAAATGCTTTTAAAAAACAATTTGTACCAAGCACCTACTATGTGCTAGTCACTGGTCTAGCCTCTAGGGGTGCAGAGCAGATACAATGACGCAGGTCGGCCTTGCATCTGAACAGGAGAGGCAGGGGAACGAGGACTGAAGACAATCATTTTGGAAACAAGGCAGGCGGATGAGAGAGAGTGAGCAGAGAAATGCGTGAGGTTTGTGTTAGGACGGGTGTGAGAAGCCTGCCAGAAAAAGATCCAGGTGAAGAGAGCCCCAGCCCAGGGACCAGCAGTTAGCGTAATGGCTACGTCGCTGGACTCCCATGTAATCAACCGGGTTCAAGTCCCGGACCCGGTGGCTTAAACTCACGCCAAGTGTGTGTGTATGCGTGTCCAAGATCCCGAGAGGAGAATGGAGAAGGGATTGTGCATGGCCATCTTCCCTGGGGGGGGGGATTTCTCACTTTCTGTCTCTCTGTCTCTCTGTCTTTCTGGTGAGCCCACGCACCCTATAGCAAAAACCTCTCCGGGGAAAAAAAAAAAAGAGAGAGAGAGAGAGCCCCAGCCCAGAGGAAGCGAAGGCCTCAGGGTGGCTTTGGGCCTTGAAGGGGGCGGGCGGAAGTTAGAGAATAAGGCGGAGCCCTGACCACACAGCTCCTCCAAGGACCATTTAGGAACTTGAAGGCTTCTTCTAAATGTCATGAGAAGACTTTAAACATAGAGAGGGGTTGGGCCAGTCAGCGACATGGCGGTTGAGGTGCCTGGTCCCCACGTGGTCGACTATGCAGTTCAAGTTCCAGATCTAACAGCTTGAAAAACACACTGGGTGTTTGTGGGCGCGTGCCCAAGATCCTGAGAGGAGGACGGAGGAGGAGAGACTGCAGCGTGGCCATCCCCTGGGGTACTTTCCTCATCTCTCTCTCCCTCTCTGGTGAGCACACATGCCCTATAGCAAATTTTAAAAAGGAAACATCTACGGATCTTTGATGCCCTTCCTCTCTCAGCTCGGGACGGGCGTTACTCTGCTGCTCCACGAACCGCCTGCAGACCTGACCCGGCAACGGAGGAAAACCGGGGCCCTCGGGGCTTTCCCTGAGCTCACATGCAGGAAGACGGGAATGTCAGCACACCTGGACAGGTCTGTCACGGGCTGTTGTCCCCTCCCAGGTCCTTCTAGCTCCCAAAGACCGTGGTTCACCCCCGTCTGGGCATCCTCCCCCCAAAAGCCGCCTGACACCCACACCCGTGCTGACCCCGTGCCCTAGAGCACCCTGCTCCCCTCCCTACCGCGCGAGCCTCCTTGCTGTGGCACTGGGCGGTGTCAGGGTGTGGCCATTGGTGACGTAAGCCCCGTTCCCATTGATCTTTGCCCTTGAAGTCACCCTGAAGCCCTCAGACCTTAGCACACAGTATCCGGGGCAACTTGGACATAGTGGTGTCCAGGTGACTGTTCTGCCCTAGCCGTCCCCTTCTCAGCTCGCCTTCTCGTTCAGGTTAGGATGGCTGAGCTGCTGTGTCAAGGCTCAGCCTCCCTGCCTCCTGTCTCGAGGCCCTGCGGGCCTAGGGAGGATTCCTACTCGTAGGAAGTCAAACCGCACAGGCAGTGGGGTTGGGTCAGCCAGGGCTGCAAGAGAAGCCCGCGTCCACGCGTTCACTCACTCAGGAAACTTTATTGGGTTCCATGGTGTCTACAGGGGGCGGGGCTGGGAGGGGTGAGGCCTGGGGTCCAGGCGGGAGTCGGGGGCTTGCAGAGGTCAGCAGAGGAACAAGAGGCAGGCCTGGGGCTACAGGAGTGTTCTCCAGGGCAGGGGTGCGAGGGAGGGCTTCCACTGTGATGTAGGCACAGCGTGGACAGGTCCGGCAGAGCAGCCCTCTTCAGTGTCGGGTCATCTGTGAGGAAGGACATGGAGGGACAGTGAGGCCCGAGGCCACGGGCTTCCCCTGCCCAGCCAGTGCCCCCGGCCGTTCCCCACCTCTCACCTTGGCCGGGCTCGGCGGGTATCTGGCCTTGTTGAGGTCCTCGTTCTGCAGGGACCTCACCAGGCACGAGCGGCGGTGAGAGAAGGTCTCGAAGCTCTTCTTGCCGTGGTAGGAACCCATGCCACTGTGCCCTGCAGGGAGCAGCCGGCTCAGGGCTCAGGTGGCCCCGAGGCCCCCGGGCCAGAGCCACCCTCCGGGCTGTGTGTACATGACCACGTGCCCTCCCAGGGGAGGCCAGTCCCTAGGGAACCTGCAGGACGTGCACCCCAGGGACACGGATGAGAGAGTCTAACCCCAGGTGTGCTACTAAGCGGCCGTGTGGCCTCTGGCCGGTGCCACGGTCAGGGCCCCGGGGAAGTGAGCCAGGTGCACCAGGTGACCGCTGGGACCCTCCAGGCCCCGAGGTTGAGGGCGGCTGGGGGAAGTGCAGGTGGAGGCCAGAGACTGGACTGGAGAGGGCGGGATGGGGACACCAGCCTGTCCGCGTCTCCCGAAGGCCCTTGGGTGAGTGCGCCCGGCCCTCGGGCCGCCGAGGAGGGAGCTCAGCCCAGACTCACCCACGCCCCCGAAAGGCAGCGAGTGCACGGTGATGTGGACGATGACGTCGTTGGCTGTCACCCCTCCGCTTGACGTCTCTGCGATCATCTTCTTGATCACCTGCACCAAGACCCAGCCGCTAGCCTGCCTCCTCCGGGCCGCCCAGGCCTCCCTTGTCTAGACGTGGCCTGGAGCCATGGCTGCAGTCTGCGCCCTCCCCACGCACCTCACAGCCCTGGGCACCATGTGAGAGAGCGAAAATACCCTCCCCTGTGCCCACAGGGTGCTATGTCACCGCCGGTCACCTGGGTCGGAGCTCGGCATGTGACTGTCCTGATCGTAGGGATCGGGAGAGAGAGGCTCAGAAAGGGTGAGTGACAGCCTCGGGCTTTGAACCTGGCACGAGGGCGCCCCAGCCCACCTTGTCGTTGTTGGAGAACACATAGAGGGCCAGGGGCTTCTCGCGCTGGCCGATGAACTGGATGGCCTCGTCCAGGCTGCGCACGCACACGATGGGCAGCACGGGCCCGAAGATCTCCTCCTGCATCACCTGCGTCTGGGGGTCCACGTCCACCAGGATAGTGGGGGCTGGGCAGGGAGCGGGCGGGAGATGGCGGAGCTGAGCCCAGGCTCGGGAGACCATCACGGGCAGAGCCCAGGCCCAGCGCGGACAGGGACGGGGCCAGTGAGCTCTTCCACGGCCCCCACTGTGTCCCGGGCTCCATCCTGGCAGACCACAGGACGCCCTGGACGAACCTGCATGGGGGCAGGCTCTGCACCTGCGGGCCTCCCGAGCCTGACTGGAGCCCTCTCTTGCTGACAGGTTGGGGCCGACTGCCCCGATATCTCTCCCGTGCTTTTCCTTGGGGCACGTCCCAAGTGATGCCACACAGTGGTCAGGGCTCAGCCTAGACCTCTCCCCCTCCAGGAAGCCTTCCCGTACTCCCCCATGCCTCCTTCTGCGACCCACATGCCTGGACACTGGGAAAGCCTCAAGGCTGATGCACCCGGGGCTCCTGCGGCCTCCGTGGTCCTGTCTCCTGCTGACACTGCAGAGGTCAGGGGACATGAAGCCCCTCTGGCCCTTGTGGGGGTTCCCCTACTGAGGCCTGGCCTAGCCCAGCCCCTGGTATGGAGTATCTGTGCTCACTTCCTGCGAACTTGCCAGGAACCCACAGCCCCCCGGGTGGGTGGTGCTCTCCGGGGGAGGCCACGCACCTATGTAGCGGGAGGCCGCGTCCCCAGTGCCCCCGTGGACCACCTTCTGGCCCTCGATCAGGCCCATCACCCTCTGGAAGTGCCGGGGGCTGATGATTCTCCCGTAGTCCCGGGACTTCTTGGCGTCATCTCCGTAGAACTCCTGTGGGGGAAAGGGGGACTTTCGGTGGGGACGCGTACCCCGGTCACGGCCAAAGGTCGTGTGGCTGCGAGTCAGCAGTGACCGTCTTGGCTGGTTGAGTTCTGAGTGGGGCTTTTTTTCTTCTTCATACCGTTAATATTTAATCTTTTCCAAATTATCTACCGCAATCGCGTTACTTTTTTTCTTTCTTTTGAGAGGTTTTTGTCTTAGGATGCGTGCGCTGCCAGAGAGCGCGAGCGAGACAGAGAGGGCAAGTGAGAAATCGCCCCCTCTCGCAGGGAGGATGGTCACGCCAAATCCCTTCTCTCTTCTCCTCCCGGGGTCGTGGGCACGTATGCACACGCGCCCAGGGTGAGTTTCAACCACCAGGTCTGGGACTCAAACTGTGGTCGACCATGTGGGAGTCCGGCAATGTAATGATTGCGCCATCTGCTGGCCCCACGTTTGACCTTCTGTAATGTGCCACTCTTTTAAACGTATTTGTTTTATTTATTTCATGAAAGAGCAAGCAAGAGAAAGAGAAAGAAAAGAAGGGCCAGAAAGTGGTATGGCGATTAAGGTGCTGGGCTTTCACATGGCTGACCATGGTTCGAGTCTGTGGCTTGCTTTCTCACTTTCCCTCTCTCCCTCTCTCTCTGGTGAGTGCACGTGCGCTATAGCAAATTAAATAATAATAATAATAATTTTTTTTAAAAGAGAAAGAAAACGGGCACCTCAACAGGGCTGGGGAGATCGCTCGCCCTCGATTTCACTCCCCAGCCCCCAGCCTTCCAGCCAGCCAGGCTCTCCAGGGCGGGCTCCCAGGAGCACGTGGCACGTTTGAGGGGGACCTGGGGTCCGAACTGCACATTGCAGAGCGGCGCCCTACCGCGGCTGAGCCAGGTGTGGCTTTTATGACCAGGAGAGAGCCCCGCGTTTCCTAAAGGCCTCGCAGCCCGCCCAGCCCCACGCCGGCCCCTGGAGCCGCTCACTCTCCCTCTGCAGAGCCAACACTCACTTTCAGCGACTTCTTGAGCTTCTCCACGATTTGGTTCTGGATCGAAGGGTCACAGAGGATGTAGTCGGGGGCCACGCAGGTCTGGCCGCTGTTCATGAACTTCCCCCAGGCGATGCGTCTGCAGAAACCCCACATTGGACTCCACCCGCCCCATCCCAAAAGGCACGGGGAGGTCCCCAAGGACACTCGACTGCCCGCTCAGGGTCAAAGGACAGCGGGCTCAGGCTGAGGGCAGCTCGCCGGGCAGCAGGAGCCGTAGGCTGTGTCCTCCTAAGCGGCCCGCTCACTCCCACACACTGGGGCAGCAGCCCCCAGCCCCCGGCCAGGCTCGTGGGAGCCTCCTGGAGCCAGGGCACCCCAACCGCATGGGTGACTGGTGGAGAATTTCTGGAGGATATCTGGGTGGGCAGGCTTGGTGGCTGTCTGGTCACACCCAGCATGGGGTGGCACTGCTACTCAGGCCCCCCATGTGTCGGCCATGGTTCTTTTCTGGCCCTGCACTCCAAATCTCAGATCCGAGTCCACCCCAGTGGAGGGCTGGGCTCTGTGAGCTTCTCCATCCCCTGAATGTCCCACCCTCGCCTTTCCTTGGAGCACTTCCCCTGTGAGGCACACAGTGGTCAGAGCTCAACCTAGACCACTCCGCCTCCAGGAAGCCCTCCTGGACTCCCTATACGTCTCCTGTGAATAAGCCCACCCCCACTGGAACTTCTGGGGAGGGCCACAGGCTGTTGGTGCCACCAGAGCAGACCCACAGTGCTGGGAGGACGGCTGGGGCAGCCCAGATGGCCCCGGGAGCCTCACCGGCAGGCCACGTCCAGGTCGCAGTCCTTGTCCACGTAGCAGGGGCTCTTCCCTCCCAGCTCCAGCGTGACGGGGGTCAGGTGCTTAGCAGCAGCCGTCATAACAATCTTCCCCACGCCCGTGCTGCCCGTGTAGAAGATGTGGTCGAACCTCTCCTTGAGCAGCTCCGTGGTCTCGGGGACACCCCCGTTGATCACTGGGTACATGTCCTTCCATGCAGAGACAGAGGGGCAGGCC